TTTTTTTCTCCTAGACTTAAATTATCCTCAGAAGAGGATAGTTCGCGCATGGTTTTTTTATCCCCTCCTTCCCTTGTGTTTACTTTTCTCATCTAAGATCTCGGGGCGCTGTACTTACGGCGATTACCGACAGGCCCTTCGCACTGTATCCCATGTTCGTCTTTGTTTTTCATGTTTCTTGTGCAAAGCGTGCCTGTTAAGTCCAATTACCCCATGGGGATGAATAAAGTTTTCTGAATCTGAATCTGAATCTGATCTAAAACATTCATTCATAAATGTATATCATATGATTTTTTTTTTTTCTCAGTATAAATAACATGTACCCTGACTGTTCTACTCTTTGAATAAAATCACTTCATTCAAGCGTTAGGGAGTGCAAAGGGTTATGATGGAGGGGTGTTGCAAATCATGAACACCTGCCAAGTGGTATGATAGCATTGTTTTATACATGTCCTCGGCTAGGCCTCAATTTCAAAATCAGTCCTTGGTCCTTGGCCTTGGCCTTGGAGGCAAGTCCTTGGTCCTTGGCCTTGGCCTCGGAAAATTTTTCAAGTCCTTGGCCTTGGCCTTGCCTCAGAAAATTTTCCAAGTCCTTGGCCTTGGCCTCGGAGGCAAGTCCTTGGCCTTGGCCTTGGCCTCGGGTTGCCGGTCCTTGGACACATCCCTGGTAACTGGAAGTTATTTTAAATAACTATGTTAACGTAATAATAAATATATTGCGTCTTTGTTCATGACCTTGTAAATTATGTTTTTCCATTCACGCTATTGTCCACCGTGGGCGTCGCCATTGTGGATTGACGACAGATCGAAGCCAGTCGGTGAAATCAGTGTCTCTTTCCCCTCAAAATTTGCAACTCGCACCCCCGGATGAAAGGAACTTTCCAGTGCACTTTTCCTGGTCGGAGGTCTAAATCCGACTTTCCACCTTCCTTGATTGTATCATAATTATTCCGACTTCCCACCTTCATTGAATGCAGCATTGCATATGGCTCATATTCAGAACGCTCGCGTGCCATACGTGCACTACTCTTGAGATGGAAGGGTGATCTCGTTTTTCTTATTACATGTGCGTAGATTATCGCTCCTGTTTACATGCTAGCATCCCCCACCACCACCACCATAAATTCAAAGAGGAAGGAGATTGACAAAAGCCCAAGGATGGAAATGGTAGAATTGCGTCCATCTCATTATTCTAATTGCACGTTCCTCGCTCATTTTTAAAAACTTGCATCTCCCAGAAAACATTCAATCAGAGAGGGAGGAGCTTGACAAAGGAGCGAGGTAGGAGGAGGTACACATGTTTTGGGATAATGGCTGTGTACAAATTCACCCTGATTCCCTAAACTATCATTGACTATGGGCGTGTTCGGAAATTTACTCCACCGCCCATGAGAGTGTGTGTGCGTGTGTGTTCAGGGAGGCAGAGTGCGCTCCGCTCCCAGTAATTTCCGAACGCAGCCTATGTTCTCAACCAATCAGCACAGCTTAACTCACTGGCGCACCGTGTCCTTAGTCGGAGCGCCTACCTATATAGCCCGAAACTACATGTTGCACTGTATAGTTGAACCCTAAAGAATAAAGTGGACATTTGTGGCGATAGTAAAACCTCAGACAGGGAGACAGTTGTTTTGTGACACGCGTAAATGAAGTGACGTAATATTTAGAAGACGTCTCCAGGATATGACAACATCAAGGAATGATCTCATTATGGACTACTAAACATTTGTACCTCTCCCGACTCCCTCCTTCTCGATTGAATTTCTAGTGGGCGGTGCTCGCATGTTAACTGGACCGAGGAACCCTCCGTTTACAAAATGGCACCTCCCACCAATAATTTCATAGAGGAGGGAGGAGATGGACAAAGGAATGACATTCTTATATCACTATCTGTCTTTGGTGAGATGTTCATTTTGTGAGAGCCAAAAATTATCCCAGAACTGTGTATTGACGTCATTTATAGTGTTTTCAGAAAAGACAGAATAGAAGGAAAGGGTCGTGGGTATCCTCGTTTATGTAAAATAAAAAAAAAAATA